GACACCACGGAGGAAGCCATTGCTGTCCAAAAAGAAGATTGCAGCACGTTTGAAGTTTGCAAAAGAGCACCTGGATGTTCCACAGCACTACTGGCAGAATATACTGTGGACAGATGACACCAAGATTGAGTTGTTTGGGAAGAACACACAACACTATGTGTGGAGAAAAAAAGGCCCAGCACACCAACACCAAAACCTCATCCCTACTGTGAAACATGGCGGAGGGAGCATGATGGTTTGGGGCTGCTTTGCTGCCTCAGGGTCTGGACGGATTGTTGTCATTGATGGGAAAATGAATTCCAGAGTTTATCAAGACATTTTGCAGGAAAACGTACGACCATCTGTCCGCCAACTGAAGCTCCGCAGAGGATGGGTGATGCAACAGGACAATGATGACCCAAAGCATACAAGTCATTCAACAAAACAATGGCTGCAACAGCACAGAATACGCCTTCTGGAGTGGCCCAGTCAGAGTCCTGACCTCAACCCCATTGAAATGCTGTGGCATGACCTTAAGAGAGCGATTCACACCAGACATCCCAAGAATATTGCTACACTGAAACAGTTTTGTGGAGAGGAGTGGTCCAAAATGACTCCAGATCGTTGTGCAGGTCTGATCTGCAACTACAGGAAACGTTTGGTTGAGGTTATTGCTGCCAAAGGAGGGTCAACCAGTTATTAAGTCCAAAGGTTCACATACTTTTTCCTCCCTGCACTGTGAATGTTTACATGTTATGTGCAATTAAACCATGGCAACATCTAATGTTTGTGTAGTATTATGTTCAGCAGACTGTGTTCTTCTATTGTTGTGATTTAGATGATGTTCAGAGCACATTTTATGCCCAATTCATGCAAAACTCCACGTAATCCCAAGGGGGTCACATACTTTTTCTTGCAACTGTATATATGTATGTGTGTGTATATATATATATATATATATACACACACACACACTCACACACACTATATTGCCAAAAGTATTGGTCGGCCTGCCTTTACACGCACATGAACTTGAATGCATCCCAGTCTTAGTCTGTAGGGTTCAATATTGAGTTGGCCCACCCTTTGCAGCTATAACAGCTTCAACTGTTCTGGGAAGGCTGTCCACAAGATTTAGGAGGGTGTCTATGGGAAGGTTTGACCATTCTTCCAGAAGTTGTGAAGTCAGGTACTGATGTCGGACGAGAAGGCCTGGCACGCAGTCTCCGCTCTAAGTCATCCCAATGTGTTCTATCGGGTTGAGGTCAGGACTCTGTGCAGGCCAGTCAAGTTCCTCCACCCCAAACTCCTTCATCCATGTCTTTATGGACCTTGCTTTGTGCACTGGTGTGCAGTCATGTTGGAACAGGAAGGGGCCATCCCCAAACTGCCTGCCTAGGTGCTTAATTTTATACACCTGTGGCCATGGAGGTGATTGGAACAGCTATGTGTATGTCCAAAAGTTACTTTTGGCAATATAATGTGTGTATGTATATATGTGTATAATAAATATATATACATACACTACTGTATATTGCCAAGAGTAACTTTGCCAAACGAAACAATTCAAATGAATTTGATGTGCAAGTGCAAATTTAAGGAACTGCAACCATTTTCATATACAGTCCGTCCATTTTCAGGGGGCTCAAATGTAGTTGGACAAATGAATATAATCAGAAATAAAATGTTAATTTGTAATATTTTTCTTGAGAATCCTTTACTGTCAATGACTGTCTGAAGTCTGGAACCCATGGACATTACCAAAGACTGGGTTTCCTCCTTTCTGATGCTTTGCCAGGCTCTAACTGCAGCTGTCTTCAGTTGTTCTTTGTGGGTCTTTCTGCCTTTAGTTTTTCCCTTCAGAAAGTGAAATGCATGCTCAATTGGGTTGAGATTAGGTGATTGACTTGGCCATTGCAGAATATTCCACTTTTCCCTCAAAAGCTCCTGGGTTGCTTTTGCAGTGTGTTTTGGATCATTGTCCATCTGTACTGTGAAGCACCGTCCAATCAACTTTGCTGCATTTGGCTGAATCTGGGCTGACAGTATATCTCTAAACACTGCAGAATTCATACGGCTTCTTCTGTCTTCTGTCACATCATCAATAAACACCAATGACCCAGTGCCACTGGAAGCCATGCATGCCCATGCCATCACACTGCCTCCACCATGTTTTACAGATGACATTGTGTGCTTTGGATCATGAGCTGTTCCAAGCCTTATCCACACTTTTTTTTTCTTCCCGTCATTCTGGTAAAGATTAATCTTAGTTTCATCCGTCCAAAGAATGCTTTTCCAGAACTGGTCTGGCTTTTGTAGATGTGTTTTGGCAAAGTTTAATCTGGGTTTTCTATTCTTCAGGCTTATGAATGCTTTGCACCTTGTGGTGGACTCTCTGTATTTGCTCTTGTGAAGTCTTCTCTTGATTGTAGACTTTTGCAATGATACGCCCACCTCCTGGAGAGTGTCCTTCACTTGTCTGGATGTTGTGAATGGGTTTTTCTTTACCACAGAGAGGATCCTGCGATCATCCACCACTGTTGTCTTCCATTCCTTTTTTTGTTGCTGAGCTCACCAGTGCGTTCTTCTTTCCTCAGAATGTACCAAACTGTTGATTTGGCCACTCTTTTGAACGCATGTTGTAGGTTCACAGCAATAGATTCCAAATGCAAATACCACACTTAGAATCAACTCCAGACCTTTTACCTGCTTAATTGATGAAGAAATAACAAAGGAGTAGCCCACACCTGGCCATGAAACAGCTTTTGATTCAATTGTACAATTACTTTTGGTCCCTTTAAAAAGGGGAATGACTACTCTTAAGAGCTGTAATTCCTAAACCCTTCCTCCAATTTGTATGTTGTAATTTTTTTATTGTGGGCTAAAGCCCAATTTTACACATACAAATAAGGGTGTAAATGCACCCATTGCAACATATACGTATACATAATAGGAAACAAAAAGTAATAACCAATTCAGACATAAGACTATGGCTAAATGGCAGGTAGCAGTAATTTAATGTAGTGATTAACAAAGTTTCAAGACAATCCAACTAATTTGCTATAAGAGGATTGATCCCAAATCTCCCAGACAGCTGTAAATTGGCCAGGGTAATCACCCGCTAAATAGATATTAGGAATGTTTTTTTTTTTTTAAAAAAAAGGGGTTTTATGGTGACTTAAACGTTTAATATATCCTATCTCCTCCCCTCCCTGCCTGTCTCCAGCACCGCACTTGGGGACTAGCAGTGAGCAGAAAGACACCACACAGTGTAATGAGCACTGAGTGGGTGCTTGTCAGGAAAGAGGAGTGTCCGGCTTATCCTTTATCCCTTTCGCTGCCAAAGCCGCTTTTGCGTTTTTTGCACAAGATTTAAAAAATTATAATTTTAGGCCTGAAGATTACACAAAACCCCCAAACATGATATATTTTCTGAGACCCTAGAGAATAAAATAGTGGTAGTTCCAATTTTTTCTGTCGCATGATATTACCGCAAAATTTCAGTAAAAAATACAAGTTAGTTAATCTTAAGGCACAAAAATACATTACCCAATTTTTTTGTAAACTGTAAAAGATGAGGTTACAGCGAGTAAATAGATATCCAACATGTCAAACGTTAAATTTGCATGCGCTCGTGAAATGGCGACAAACTTCAGTACCCTTATTTTCTATAGTTGACGCTTTTAAAGCCCCTTCTAGGTCATCAGTATAGTGTACGGAGGAGGTCTGCACGGCGATATGTAACAGGTATTGCAAAGGACATTTTCATGCGTAGGCGTCCCAGCGTGTGCTTTTAGGTTTGTACGTGGGGGGGCTGAATTTTTTTGGGGGGCATGTTATGTGCTTGGGTGTAACTTTCATTTTTTTACAATTTTAAAAAATAAACTTTTTTTTTAATTCAATTTTGTTTTATCACATAGGGGACAATGTCCCCTATGTGATGATTTTTTAGTGACCGGTTCTATTTATTGAGACATTCGAGGTCTAAAATCTCCCTTGAATGTAATGCAGCGCACATCGCACTGCATTACATTCTTTCCCAGCCTCAATTGCCAGGAACCTTTCACCGGGGACCGGAAGTGACATCATAATGTTACTTCCGGGTCAGGACAAAAAGAGGAGAGGAGCGAAAGTGTTTGCTCTCCTCTTTCCCCTCTAGCCGCTGGCAATGAGCCAGTCCCGGGCCTGCAGATGGGCAAACAGAGCCTGGGAGACAGCGGGTGGGGGGGAGCTTCACACAGAGGGGGCGAAGAGGCTGGCACTGTGTGGAAGCATTCGGACAGCAGCGCTGCTGTCCGAATGCTTCCACATGACAGGTAACAAAAAAAAAAAACTACCTGCCCGGCGCCTGGAACTACATGTCCCGGGTGTCGGGCGATAGGAATTCAACATCCCTGTACATGTAGGAGAGAAATGTCAGATTAGGCTTGGTAAGCAAATGGTTAAATAATCAGTCCTCCCAAAGTGTTTCCTGGATGCTGGAGATTTATATCCCCTAGAAGGCTCATAAGAATGCTGGTAATGAACAACTCAGGTCTGCACACCTCACAGCCATTAAAAGGGAATCCCAGTCTACTTTTTTTAATCTCAATAAGGTAAATGTAAAATAAATTACAAATAAAAAGTAAGCCAAAGGGTGGTGCGGAGCAGAAGCAAGAACTATTGTGAGGAGACCCTTCTGCTTGAGCCTCAGGAGGTATAAGGAGTCCCATGGGTAACTCGGCCAACCAGATGCTATTTTTAGCTGAAATACCACATTTGGATGGATGATCCTTTTGTAGCTTTCCAACCTATTTGACTGAATGTTCAGATGGTTACCTACATTGAATAAATTGTTTCTTTTGTTTTATCATGTTTTGCAGGTGTCCATTATGAACATGACTTAATAACAACATGCTACAGCATTGATCAAATGCTTCAAAGAAACAAGATTTGAGAAACGTTGGGACTTCAGAAAGGTGGTCACAGGCCTCTGTACCACCACAACTACGCAAGACTTTGTATTTGTATTTCACAACACAATGGCGAGTAAACGAAAATCAACAACTCCTTGCATGGTGCTTGCAAGCGAGCACGATCCTGATGTAGAAATGAATTCCGACGCTGAGGAAGGTCCACCGTTGGTAACAAGCATGGAGAATCCTGCTCCAGAAAGCGCTGTGCCTGAGGGGGTGACAAAGGATGGAGATGCACTTGAACCTAATGATTCAGACAATCAGCCAAGTAAAATAGTTGAAGGTGGTTATGAATGTAAATATTGTTCATTTCAAACTCCGGACTTAAATATGTTTACCTTTCATGTAGATTCTGAGCATCCCAACGTTGTACTAAATTCTTCCTATTTTTGTGTGGAGTGTAATTTTCTCACTAAACGGTATGATTCGCTTTCAGAGCACAACACGAAGCACCATCCCGGGGAGGAGAACTTTAAGTTAACCATGGTTAAACGCAACAACCAGACCATTTTCGAACAGACTGTTAACGATCTGACCTTTGATGGCAGTTTTGTCCAAGAGGAGAACCAGGAACAGCCAGAGTCTAACTCTTCTGCGATTTCAATCAGTAAAACTCCAATAATGAAAATAATGAAGGAAAAATCTGAGAAGAAAAGAATCACTGTACCACAGAATGCAGGAGAAGATGGAGTAGAGGAGAAAGAAAATATAGAAAGTGATCCAAAGGTGAAACCAACAGAAGAGCCCAAGACTGTTCCAGTTGTAACAGAACCTGTAAAAACAAATGCTACAATTATTACCCGCACCCAGGAGTTACCAAATCCAGTTGTAGCGCCTGCTACTGTACTTCAGCCTGGGCTGGCACAGGTTATCACAACTGTTCAAGCGCAGCAAAATATCCTTTCAAAAGTCTTAATACCTGTCAACAGCATTCCAACATACAATGCAGCATTAGACAGCAATTCTCTTCTGCTAACTAACTACAACAAGTTTCCATACCCAACTGTTTCGGAGATATCCTTTCTTGCTGCTCAAACTAAATGCACAGAGGAGCAAATTAAAATCTGGTTCTCAGCCCAGCGACTAAAACATGGTGTTAGTTGGACACCAGAAGAAGTAGAAGATGCACGAAGGAAGCAGTTTAATGGCACGGTGCATACCGTCCCTCAGACAATAACTGTGATTCCTGCACATATTTCAGCAGCCACTAATGGCCTGCCTTCTATTCTGCAAACGTGCCAAATAGTTGGACAGCCTAGCCTTGTTCTCACCCAAGTTGCAGGAACAAATGCACTACCAGTGACTACTCCAATAGCACTGACCGTGGCTGGTGTCCCGAGTAATGCACATCTCCATGCAAGCCAAATTCCGCAGGTACATCCTGTCACTGAAACAAAAAGAATTGCTGCCATCCCAAGTCCACATCTCCCAAAGCAAGAGCCCACCTTGATAGCCGATATTTTCGGTTTGCGTGCAAAGAAGACAAAAGAACAGTTAAACGCTCTAAAAATGAGCTATCTGAGGAACCAATATCCTCACAATAGTGAAATTGAACGACTTATTAGATTAACAGGCTTAACTAAAGGAGAAATTAAAAAATGGTTTAGTGACACTCGGTATAACCAAAGAAATTCCAAAGGCAGTCATGGTATGCATTTCAGCAGTGACCCTAGTGGTACCATCATTATTGACTCTAGCGATGAAATAAGCGAATCCCCAACCTCTGGAGTAATAACTTCTCCGCGTAGGCAAAGTTGGAACCCATTCCCAGATTTTACTCCCCAGAAATTCAAAGAAAAGACTGCGGAACAACTGCAGGCTCTTGAAGAAAGTTTCCTTGGCAGCTCAGTGCCATCAGATGAGGAGTTGGGTAAGTTAAGAGTTGTCACTAAACTTACGAAGCGAGAAATTGATGCCTGGTTTGCAGAAAAAAGGAAATCGATGGGAATAAAAGAGGATCCCGGTGTCTTCAATGAGGGTCTAAACCAGGAAATAAAAGAAGAATTGGATGAGGCTTTGGTTGCAGCAAAAATGGCGAAAAAGACTCCTGATCAGTTGACACTGCTTAAAAATGCCTTTATTCGTACACAATGGCCAAATCCAGCAGAATATGACCAGCTGGTACAAGAAACTGGACTGGCTAGAAGTGACATTATTGGGTGGTTTGGAGATACCAGGTATGCTGCTAAAAATAATCATCTGAAGTGGTTCTATGAGTATCAAATGTCCAAAACGACCAGTTCAACAGTTATGAATGGGCAAAGTAATACACGTAGAAGGGGGAGAGGCAGACCCAGGGGTAGAGGACGCGGCAGGCCTAGAGGTCGGCCAAAAGGACGGAGGACGAACAGCTGGGAGAGGCCACCTCCACCAGTGAAGCATAAGACTGGAAGAGCACTGCTGAAAGACTACTATTTAATGAATAAATATCTCAATGAGGAGGACTTGGACGAATTGGTTTCCAAATCTCAGATGGGTTACGAGCAGGTGAGGGAGTGGTTTGCCGAGCGGATGCAAAGAGAAGATGCAGGTTTGGATCCCTTTGTAGACGATGATGAAGATGATGAAAACCTGTTAGATGAGTTGGATGATGAAGAAGAAATTGAATCTGATGACAGCGACACTTGGGAGCCCCCAAAACATGTCAAGCGCAGGCTTTCAAAATTGGAGGAGAATTGACAAGTAAGTAAATGCCTATAAAATTCTTACTAGCGGTGACCAGGACCAATAGAGCAGTGAATCTCCCTAATGGAGACACAGACAACCGTAAACTTGACAGGGTTTTTTTTTTTTATAACCCTTCATGACTTTATTCAAAACAAAGAAAATCTTAGCTTTAGATGCTTTCATATTACCATATGAATTAAGCCGATTAGCCTCTTCAAACAATCAGTTTCACTTAAGCCAGCTATAGATGGTTCAAATCTCAGCCGGTTTAGCAGAGACCGGCCTGGATTCGATCCATCTATGGGCACGCTGCTTGTACATCGATTGATTTGGGTACAACCAGCATGTCGGATTTTTAGCATGCTATTATTGCCAGTGGCTGTAGCCTCTAGCAGTAATTATTGTGTTTTTTTGTTTTGTTTTTTCCCTGCAACTCGTGGAATATGAAACGTTGGGTTTACATATACTTTAACTCTTGGACACTGAAAATCCAAAATCTTTTATTCCAGTGTTTCTGGTTTACCTTGGCTTCGTCATTCACCATTCTTCTCTAATAATGCATCAGGAGGCATTAAACCCCTTTGTGAAGGTCATAGCAGATGTGCAGACTTCAGCACCTTATTTTTTGATATTTACTGTCAGGTGGCCGTAAGCAGCAGTTGTGGGTCTTGGGGAAGTTTTCATGGAGGTTGTGGACTGTTCATATGCCTTACAGCCCACTTCGTGTCATGTGCATGAGCCCTAAAATCATAACTTTTCCACCTCCGTTTCACCTGTTGCCCCTGTTAAGGGGAGATTTCAGAGTTCATCGTAGACTTTTTCATTTATATTATCTCAAATGTTGCAGTAAAAGCGAGACTGTGGTGAGTAGGAAATGATGAAAACCAATATATTTTTATATTTCCCCTAGGTTAACCACTGCACTGAGGTGAATGCCTGGGTGCTCACCCACAAAGAAATCCATAGAAATCCAAAACGGGTATAGAGGCGTTCAGGATCTTGTAGTGGAGATAAAGCAACAGTGGTATATTGTCAATAAATGCTGCTGCCTTGATTTATTTTTGCTGCAAAACCTGTCAGTGTCTCTATACTAGTTTTGGAGATTTCGCTCTCGTTTCTCTCTTGCTTTCTCTCTTGCTCCTCTTTCTGCTTCTCTTTCTCTCTCTCGCTTCTCTTTCTCCTCTCTCTCGCTTCTCTTTCTCTCCCTCTCTCGCTTCTCTTTCTCCCTCTCTCTCGCTTCTCTTTCTCTCCTCCTCTCTCGCTTCTCTTTCTCCCTCTCTCGCTTCTCTTTCTCCCTCTCTCGCTTCTCTTTCTCCCTCTCTCGCTTCTCTTTCTCCCTCTCTCTCGCTTCTCTTTCTCCCTCTCTCGCTTCTCTTTCTCCCTCTCTCGCTTCTCTTTCTCCCTCTCTCGCTTCTCTTTCTCCCTCTCTCGCTTCTCTTTCTCCCTCTCTCGCTTCTCTTTCTCCCTCTCTCGCTTCTCTTTCTCCCTCTCTCGCTTCTCTTTTTCTCTTTCCTCTCGCTTCTCTTTTTCTCTTTCCTCTCGCTTCTCTTTCTCCCTCCTCTCGCTCTCTCTTGCTCGCACTCTCTTGCTCTCTCTTGCTCGCTCTCTCTCGCTCGCACTCTCTCGCGCTCTCTCGCTCGCACTCTCTCGCTCTCTCTCGCTCGCACTCTCTCGCTCGCACTCTCTCTTGCTCGGTCTCTCTCTTGCTCCTCTTTCTGCTCTCTCTCTCTCGCTTCTCTTTCTCTCTCTCGCTGTCTCTCTCTCTCGTTCTCTCGCTGTCTCTCTCTCTTGCTCCTTTTTCTCTCTCTCGCTGTCTCTCTCTCTCGTTCTCTCGCTGTGTCTCTCTCTCTCGTTCTCTCGCTGTCTCTCTCTCTCGTTCTCTCGCTGTCTCTCTCTCTCGTTCTCTCGCTGTCTCTCTCTCTCGTTCTCTCGCTGTCTCTCTCTCTCTCGTTCTCTCGCTGTCTCTCTCTCTCGTTCTCTCGCTGTCTCTCTCTCTCGTTCTCTCGCTGTCTCTCTCTCTCGTTTCTCTCGCTGTCTGTCTCTCTCGTTCTCTCGCTGTCTGTCTCTCTCGTTCTCTCGCTGTCTGTCTCTCTCGTTCTCTCGCTGTCTGTCTCTCTCGTTCTCTCGCTGTCTGTCTCTCTCGTTCTCTCGCTGTCTGTCTCTCTCGTCTCTCGCTCGTCTGTCTCTCTCGTTCTCTCGCTGTCTCGCGCTCGTTCTCTCGCTGTCTCGCGCTCGTTCTCTCGCTGTCTCGCGCTCGTTCTCTCGCTGTCTCGTTCTCTCGCTGTCTCGCTCGTTCTCTCGCTCGTTCACTCTCTCGCTCTCTCTCGTTCTCTCGCTGTCTGTCTCGCTCGTTCTCTCGCTGTCTCTCTCGTTGTCTCGCTCTCGTTCTCTCGCTGTCTCGCTCTCTCTCTCGTTCTCTTGCTGTCTCGCTCTTTCGCCCGCGCTCTTTTTCTCGCGCTCTCGTTCTCTCCTGCTCTTTTTCTCGTGCTCTCTCTCTTTTCTCTCGCGCTCACTCTCATTTTTTCTTGCTCTCTCAAACTCAAATAAGCTTTATTGGCAGGACCAAATACATTTTAGCATTGCCAAATCTTTCTCTCTCTTTCTCACGCTCTTCCCCCCCCCCCCCCCCCCTCTCTTTAGCACTCTAGCTGTCTCTCTATCTCTCTTTTGATTGAAGACTGGGCTGCACTTTTTAAAAATGGTGCACATCAAGTTCAACTTTGATTAGGTATCCTAGTTTTGAAAAGCTAAAGGAACAAGACTGTGTATTTTGCAGGTAAGTTGCTGCAGAGCTTAGTAAATGTGGGGGGTTGCTCTGCTCTGCTGACTTCCATCATCCAATCACGTGCAAGCAAAACTGCAGTGTGTGGTTTTTATTCCTTGCATGTGATTAGGTATTCTTTGCAAAGTGAAGCATCACCTTATTTAATAAGCTCTCAACCATCTGCACTTGCAGAGAGCACAGTGTATTTGCCTTCAGTGAATCAACCCCGTTTTATTCTAGTTTTGCAAATTGAAGGCAGAGGGCTACCTGACTGAACTTAAAGTAGAACTAAAGGCAAAAGGAGGGGTTTTTTTTAGATATTTAGGGAGGATTCACTGCCTGTCCCATTACCAAAACTGGAAGTGAGAGGAAATACCTCCAAAGTGCAGGAAATCCTTGGCTGTCACCAAAACTAGTGTCCGTATTGGAAGATATCCCCTGTTATCACTGAAAGTTAAAAAAATAAATAAAAAATAAACAGAACTAATAGAGAGGGAAAATCTCCTTAATTGGGATACAAACTGCAATAAAAACCTGACGGGTTCTAATCCCTCTCCACTTTATCCAAAACTAAAGTTTTGCTTTTAGTTATACATTAAATAATACCTGACTTCAACTGAACAGGTTCACTGTATTGTGCAGAGAAGCATATAATAGCTTTTCACTCTTCCACTGCTCTTTTCAAGTGCTAGGAAAGAAATGAAAGCCCCGTGTAAGTTGTTGGAGTTGTAGTTTATGTTGATTATCCATTTGGCATCGCTGATTGTCCACATCACATGCTGTGAATGATCCTTGAATCATTATTATACTTTGAACTATCCAGCATTTCCTTCAACTTTCTACACTGAACTGGGATGCAGGGGAGAAAAGGAAAGGTTAAGTATATGCTGCTGGGAATGGGGGGATTGAAGGAAGCCAGTTGCTTTACCTCTGAATGAGCTTTGTTTTAAATTGAATAAATAGCAAATTGTGATCCATATTCTTTCTTCTTCCTTTTTTTTTTTTTTTCTTTTAATAGGCTGGAGAATAGACCAGAAGAAAAGGCATGGACATCCAGTTTTGCTGTGAAAGTCCTGGGAATCCTCTCTTCTGAAAACTACAGAGTACAGTAACAGAAGAAGCACGATGGTCTCTGCAGGGAAGGAGCAGCAAATTTGCATGCTGTGCCAAAGTAGCCACACTGCAGACAGGACTATGCTGTAAATATAACTTGAGAGATGTGGGCAGCACACAACTTGTACAATTCAGATTTTAATACATTTTTACTGACGTAATTATTCATTTTTTTTCCTTTCTCCTTTTTTTTGTGCATTCTTAGACCTTATTTTGTTTGAGGCAGAGAGGTCTATAATAACAAACAACGGTGACCACTAGTTCTATTTTTCCTTTTTTTGTTACATATGCCTATCATAACTCTGTTTTAGTCATATAAATCTAGATTTTGCTGCCCGTGTTCTTTGACATGTAATGAGCTTTTTAGCTTGGAGCGACCAAACATTTTTTGCCTGTTAAAAAAAAAAAAAAAAAAGAGCTATGCCACATGGAACAGTGTCCATTGACTTGCTCTGTAATAAGTATGTGCAGCTTTACATAAACATGTTGCATTTTATATTTTAAATGTTATACTGTACATCCTAAATACCCCCACCACTACTACCAAACCCCCATGGGCTCGTTCACAGTAGAGCTACACTAGATGCATTTTTCTGCACTTTACAGTTCAACTCCAAATTGCGTTTTTATTTAGACTCGAGAGGATTTCATGTCTGTGCTGCTGCCAGATTAGAGAAAAGTCTGCCTATTTACAGTGGATCTAAGCTCTAATTGGAGTACGTTTTCTAAAGCTCTGTGCATTTTAAACTGCCCTGTTTTTTTTTCCCCCATAAAATTCTCACATTTCATCTTTTTTTTTTTTTTTTTTTTTTTCAATCATCTGAGTGCTGCAGATTTTATCCAGTCCTTCTCAGCCATATCTACATGAGTTCCAGCATAGACTCTCACTGTTGCTCTTTACTGGCTTCCTGATAGTGACAACGGTGGACCTTGCCTGCCCGATGTGTGTCTGCACAGCCCCTTGCAGTCTCCACCAGGGAGTGCATGCGATGATGATGACACAGGAGTGCAATTGACAGATGACTGTGTAGGATCAAGCATTTGAAATATGTGATACTGACATTTTTGATGCCTAGTAAAAAATAATGTGAACCTGTGTTCACTTGAGTCCTACTAAATGTCATTTAATTTTTCA